CCTGCTTTTCCCCAACTCAAAGCCCGACTGAGGACACGCACGCGCACGCGCACGCACACATGTGCACACACATACACAGGGCTCTGCTTTCTTGAGCCATCTTGCCTATCTGTTCTCTCAGGGCCTCTCCCCTCTCTGGATCACAAAGGTCAGAGACTCCACATGGCCCTGTGACCTCTGGCCACTCCCTACCCTGCACCCATCCCCATGTCACAGCTCACAGCAGCCCCAAGGCCCTAGGAAGGAACCTCCAGCAGGGCAACAGGGCTGCCCACCCCCTGGGCCCTGAACTGCAGGCCATACCCACTCTCCACTGGTAGAGCTGGTCTACCACCAGGTTGCACACTCCAGGGGTTCCTCCTCTTCCTTTCCTCCAGACCGCAGCCCCATGCTGCAAACTGGGGAAGGCTGCTTGCCCAGCTGGGCTGTCCCAAGGTGTAGGTTCTTGTGGGCGGGGGAAGGAGCAAAACCCTAGATTTTTGCCTCTGCTGAACCTCTACCCATCCTTCAAGACCCATCTCCAGTCTGCCCAGTCAAAAGCCACTCCCCTCCTCCCTGGCCCCACAACATTCTACAAGGACTACAACCGCCAGCGACACTCCGCCTCGATGGTACCTGGTTGGGAATAGAGCTCCTCGCCTCCCATCCTGAAAGCCTGGCACTGTGGAAAGGCGCTATCTTTGTGAGAAGCCACAGTCTACCGTGCGTCAGCCTTGGGAGTTGGGGTCACATGCTTAACCTCTTTAGTCCTGGGCTCCATCCTCAGAACCAGAAGGCCAGCAACCTTCGCCTGTGGGGCTGTCAGAGGAGTAATGTAGCACCCAGCTAGCCTAGAATCCTTGCTTTCGAGCAACCAGACTTTCAAAACAAGCCAGCCAGCCTTGCTGGCTCTCTCCTCCCCTCCCACTCATATCTCCATCTCCAGCAGCGTGGCTTCCATCTCGAAACTGCCTGTAGCCAGGATACAGAGCCCCGTGCCCTGCGCACGCCCAGTGGCTTTCAGTACCCCCTGCTTCTCTGCCGCCGGGCAACCACAGCCCATCCTTTCCAGGGGCCTCAGCTACATCCAGGCAGGTGCTTCGTGTGCCCTCCGCCCAGGCCCCTGTCCTCAGCTGACCCGCATGCGCGGACCTGTCCTTGGACCGCCCACCTGGGCGTCTCCTAGCCATGGGCACCTGCAGCTCACTCACCGCGCCTGAACTCACCTTCGCCACTCCCCTGGCTCAGGCCAGCAACCTCCCGCTCTCTGCATGTGTCGACAGACGTCCCCCCCACCCTAGACACGCAAGCCCACTGCATTCACCTCCTATCCCTTCTTAACAAACTGCCACAACACCGTAGCTTCAAACACTGCCCGTTTATTACCTCACAGTTCCAGAGGTTGGAAGGCCTAAAAATCAAGGTGTTGGCAGGGCTGAGTTCCTTCTGGAGGTTTAAGGGAAGATTCTACTTCCTTGCCTTTTCTAAAGGGAACCTGCATTCCTTGGCTCCTGGCTCCTTCTTCTATCTTCAAGGCCAGCGGGATAACATCTTCCCATCTTTTCTGAGTCTGATTCTCTTGTCTCTGTCTTATAAGAATACTTGTAATTCCATGGGGCCCACCTCCATAATCCAAGATAATCTCCCCATCTCAAGAGCCTTAATGTAATACCCTCCGGAGAGTCCCTTTGGCCATCTACGAGGACATAGGCAGGGATCCAGGGGTCAGGACACGGCCATCCTCAGAGAAGCCATGATTAGGCCTACTACACTCCCCTCCCTCCAACCGCTCCGAGTCTCTAGGATAGCCCTCTAGCGACAGCAAATCTGTTGACCTGTCTCCCTTCCATAGGCAATGTCTCCATCTGAACCTTCTTGGTCATAGAAGAGCTTGTCCACCCTACCTCATCGCTCCTCTGGAGTCAACCAGCTCTCCAGGAGGACAGTCCCCCACCAGATTTTTCAAGGATGTTACTGTCTTTCTCTGAACAAAGCTCCCTGCCCCCGGGTCTGCTGCAGTCATCCGCTCCCCGCTCCCGTCTCTCTTGCGCTGATCTCACCGCTGTTCCAGCTTCCGAGAAGTGAGTCTACTGGTCGCCTGGGTTCTAACAGTGTTCCCACCTTGCCGCTCTCTCGAAGGGCTTCACCGCAGCACCATCGGCTACCGAGACCAGATCATTCGTGGGACGAGGCTGTCCCATGCACTGTGAAAGGTTTAGCAGCATCCCCGGCCTCTGCCTTCCAGATGCCAGTAGCATATCCCCATCCCAAGTTATGATGGCCAAAAATGTCTCCAGATGTTACCAAATGTCTGGGGTGGGCAGGGCGTGGGGGGCACCAACTCCCCCAGGTCAAGAACCACTGTCTGACCTGAGTAGTTCTTGCCAAGGTCACCGGTGACGTCTCTGGCACTAAATCCAGTGGACACTTCTGAGCCCTTCTCTTGTTGGCCCTTCGGGACTTCCCACCTCTCAGGCTGTAATTCCTATCTCCCTTGCAGGATCACGTTCCCCTCCTGGACCGCTAGCCCTAGGCCCTCTCCACCTCTCGTTCACCTGTTCTCCCTGGGGGCTGCCCTCAGTACCCTCAGCCCTACTGACACCTATATCCAGGTGACTCAGGAACTGACATCTGCAAACCTCCTCTCCCAGCTCCACACACATGTAGCTAACTGCCTAGTTGACAGGGCCACTGGGGACCTTGCCATCACTCCAAACTCTGCGAGTCCAAAACCAGAAAGGGGATCTCGCCCTCCGCCCAGGCCCTGCCCTGCATTCCACTTCTAAGAGTCCCCTTCCTGACCTACTGAGAGCAGAACACTGAAGGACTTGTTCCGGCCAATTCCCTCTCCCTTACTTAGGCCAATTCATCTGTTTGCCAGTCAATCTCACTCATCCCTGAACCGGGTCACAAACCAGTTCACCTGTCTCCATGTCGTCACTCCACTCTCGCTCAAGCCTCCACTATCACCAAAGTAGAGAACAAATGTAGCCCTCTAAGTGGGATGTGGGCATCCATTCTCCACCAATGCCCCCACCCCTGATCTGTTCTCCAGGCTGCACCCAAAGTCACCCTTTCAAAACATAAACAAAACTTTTTATTGTTCTTAAAGAGCAGAAGTCCCAGTTTGGTCTACTGGGCCCTAGACTTGCAAGTTTCTCTCTCCCCCTCCCGGCCCCTGGTACTCCAGGGGCTGCACTCCAGGTATGAAGCTGCACTCCAGGTACAATGACTTTCTTCTAGTCATGCAAATGTGCCAATCTTTCCTGCCACAGGGCCTTTGCACATGCTGTTCTGTCCATTTGGTGGGCGTTCTCTCCTGTCAATTACAGCTCCACTATCAGGAAACCTTCCCCGACCTCTGGTCACACCAATTCCTCCAGTTGTTCCCTTTTCTCCTAGCCTCACTGTCTCTTCTTCTCCTGAATCATGATTTTACATTTATTTATCTTATTGTTTGATTCATTCTAGCTTCCCCATAAGAAGCCCTATGAGGGCAGGACTGATGTCTGATCTGGCCCATCACTATATCCCCAAGGCCAGTTCAATGCCTAGCACAGAGGAGCCCCACAAGAAGGGTTTAATTAATGACTAATGAATGATCTTCCTACTCCCTTAGCCTGACTTTCTCTACTGGCTCTGCCTTCTTCCCTCTCTGTTCAAGCCTGACTCCCAAGAGTCAAGAGTCATCCCTAATAATCCTTCCTCTTCAGATCATTACAAACCCTCTTCCTCACCTCCACATCCCATCCGTTAATAAATCTCGGAGATTCTCATTCTCCTTCCTGAACCTCTCGCGAATGTGCCTGCCCCCAGCACCCAAGTTGAAACCAGCATCTTTGCCTGCCCATCCCGGTTCTCCATTCTGCTACCTACCCTGCCCATTCTGCAAGGCCTCTGCCTGGCCTGCTTCAGTGTTTTCCCCCAGCCCACAGGAGAAGCACACACTTACCCAGACTCAGGAAATGTAGCGTGATCTGCCCCTGCCTCCTTCTCTGCTGATTTCTCACCACACTGACTCTTGAGCTCATTGCTAACACCACACCGGACCTGCTGGGAGCTTCCCTCACTCAGCTGCTTTTGTGCCTACAGCATTCTTCCATCTCCCGTCCCCTGACTGCTACTCAGTCCTCAAGTCTCAAGCTGAAGGAAATCCTGCCCAAACCCCTCAAGGAGGCCAACGACAACGATAATAATAGCTGATACTCACTGCATGCTTCCCGAAGGCAGGCATGGCTCTAAAAACTTCATAGTATTGACCTATTTCCTCTCCACCATCAATTATAATTATTCTGTTATTCTGTTATAGAACACAGGCACAGAGAAGTTAAATGACTCGTCCAAGGTCAGGTTTGATAGTAAAACGCCAGCAAAGCTGGCTGACAGAACGAACTTGGGCTCCAGGCCCCAGATCCCCGAGCACCATGATCACCACCGTCTCCCTCTGCTCCGAGAGTGTCCCGTCTTCCCCCTTCCCTAGCAATGATCATGTGTGCACGTACCTGTCCAGTATCTGTTCTCCCCACCAGACTGTCCCCTCCCTGAGGGCAGGGGCGACTTCCTCCAGTACCCAGCCCAGCACCCAGTATCACTGCTTTTTGGGCTGAATGTCATGCTCTGCATTCCCACAGCCCCCAGACCCAAGTCACCCACTGCGGAGGAGGGCCTGGGTCAACCCTTTGTAAATGCCACACAATGGCCCACCAGACACACACATGAACATTCACGGGGAAATAGCCCTGAGTTCCGCCTGGCTGGCCGGCCATGGGTTCCCTAGAGCCCCACCGATTCTACTGACGGCCCCAGCCAGACGGGCCCCTCAGCATGGCCATCAGCCACCCAGGGCCTGGCACACCTACTCAGCCAGGGCAAGGGGATAGCGAGATCCATCATCCCCACATCCTGGGCGGATGGCAGGAAAAGCTCTCAGGCCAGGCTGGGCCAGCATATGGCTCCCCCTGCTGGTTTCCTTCCATGCTCCTTAGCACCCTCTCCCACGGCACGGGCCAGGGGACACTCACCAGCCAGGAGAAGAAGCCAGCTGATTTGTCCTGGGTGGAGATCTGCCCCTCATAGGGGCCGAAGATGTGGCCCTTGGGGATGACCTCATTTATGCATCGCACGTCATTCTCCCCACTGGCTTCCTTGACCACCTCCATGCCCTGCGGGATGGTGAGGGCAGCCCTGTCTGGGATGCCCACGGGCACTGGCGTGTCGGACACAAACACTGGGGGACCGTGGTTCGGGCACTCATCCACAAAGTACTCCTGGCAGGACTCGCAGACTGAAGGGACGGAAAGAGCGAAAGAGCCTCAGTTGGTGCGGGGAGGCGGGACGCCCACGGCGGAGGCTGAGGGGCTGCAGGGAGGCCCACCCTGAGGACGGCATCAGGCAGTGGAAAGCACACTGCATGGACTCACGAGTCCCGGCCCTGGCTCCACCCCAGCCAGCCACAGACCCCTGAGTCTTCAGTGGTAAAAACCCATTCCCCTCCCTGGGGGCTCGGCAGACACGCGTGCCAGTGAGGAGGAGGCCAGGAGCTCCCTTTGTTTCAAGTTCACAGCCTAGCTCTGGAGGCAGATGGGCCTGCATTGGAACAGCAACTATGTGCATCTGAGGGCTGTGGGACCCGAAGCAGGGCTCTCAGCCCCTACCAAGCCCCAGGGTCCTCACCTGGAAAATGGGACCAATAAGGGCCACTTCAGTGGTTAAGGGTGAGGATTAATGGAAGCCTGGACCGGTCTCTGATACATCATAGGCAAGTGCCTATCATTAGTCCTATGGCTGCAAATTCCCTAAGCAGAGATGGGGTATGGGTGCGGGGGAGCAGGGTGAAGGGGTGAAGGGAGGAGAAAGCCAGGAACAGCCCCAGGCTCCACTTACACCAGAAGTCCACTTGCTGGAAGCTTTTGGGCATGATGAGCTCACGCTTCCCCTTCAGTTTCTTGGGCTCCACTTCCATGGGTGAGGGGTCTGGTCTCCTAGAGCTGGCCAGGCCAGGGGCCAGTAAAGGAAGCAAAGAAGCCATCAGAGAGTGGGAGGCTGGTGGGCAGAGAAGCCATGGACCCGGCCAGGAGGCCACAGGGACGTGGGGATGTGGGGCGGGCGATGGAGTGCCAGCCTGTTCAGGGCAGGGGATCGTGAAAAGGTAGGTGTTCTGAGACCTGGGCCTAGGCCTTCTAGGGCCACCATGTGGGTTCTTTTGGTCTTCTAGGGCCTGTGCTCGCTCATATCTGCTCCCAGGAGCTGCCCAGAGCAGGCGAAGGACTATGGGCCAGGAGTGGGAACTCTTCCCAGGGCGTGCAACCAACCCAGCCCCGAGATTCCCCACTTCTCCCTCTCCTGCCCCCACGTCAGGGCCTCACCAGGGCTGGCCATACTCCTGGTCTCGGAGTGGGGAGCAGACCTCGGTCTTCACCACAGTCACCATATCCCCCACAGCCGCCTTGGTCTGGGCCAGGCACTCCTTCATGTTGTCAGTCATTCTGTCCTGGGGACACGAAGGCGGGACCAGCACAGGAAGAGGATCAAAGAGACAGGGGAAGAAGGGTGAGTGTCAGAGAGGGCAAGCGGGGGTCCCGTGGAGTCTGGTTACCCTCCCTGCCATCCCCAGAGGAAACGCTTGAGAACAGAGACAACAAAAACAGCTGTAGCCCGGCCAAGAGGAAATGCCATTTCTATCCCGGGCTGGTCCTGGGGAAGACTGGAGCCATCAGCCCCATGGGGTCAGAGGCCGAGGGGCAGCTCAGGCCAGGGGGCAGGACTGGATAGCACAGCATGGACCCCGAGACCAAAGGAAGGGCAAAGGATGAGACTTCCACAGAAGCCTCCGCACAAAAGTCTGCAATGGGGGACTGGGAGAGGGACCCACTTGGGTCCAGCTGGGGCCAAAGAGGGACTGACAGAGGAACCTGGCCCCTCCGCACCGGGCTGCGCAGCCCCCTCACTCAGGGGCTGCCAGGGAATGTGGCCAAGCCCGCTCTGCCAGCTCAGAGCAGGTACAGGCGGGCCTGGGGGTCCTGGTGCGGGCCGGCAGGGCCAGCCCTGACTCCAAGCCCCACCCGCTCTCTCTAGGGGAGTCTCCCCAGCCCGCCGCTTACCGCCCTCCTCCACCACCGCGCCGGGCTTCAGCCCCTCCCTCGGCACCCCGGGATCCTCATGCCAAGCCCAGGGACACTCTTCGGGCCAGGGCGGCGGGCGGCTCGGACTGGGACCGCGCTCGCGGCCCGGGACTGGGCGAGCTGCGTGTGTGACTCACTACCCGGGGCCCCGCTGGCCACACCCCTGCTCCTCGGCTAATCAGCCCCCTGCTCCCCACCGGGGCCCCAAAGCCGGCGGCGGCTGGGAGGGGTGCGGGGAAACACGACGGCCTGCCCCCTCCTCCGAGCCGGCGGGGCCGGGGGGCGCGCGGAGGGGGGCGGGGGCTGCCCGGGGCGGGCCGAGTTGCCCCTCCCCGGCCCCCGGGCCGCCGCCCCCCCCTCCCGCCCCGGCTCCCGCAGCCCCGCTGGGCGTCCCGCCCGCGTGTCCGGCGGGGAAAGTGTGAGGTCCCGCGGCTGGGCGCAGGGGCGGCGCGGGGGGCCGGGGAGGGCGCGGGCAGCTCTCTCCCTCTCACCAACCTTCCCGGCAGGGAGCTCCCTACCCTGCCCGGCCCGGCCCTGCCCAGCGCCGCCCCCCGCCCGCCAGGCCCGGCATTCCTTGCGGGGGCATGTGGCTTCTTGCCGGCCCCGGGGGCACGCAGTTGGCTGGCGGCCGGGAGGGGGGCGCGCGGGGAGCGGGAGAGACCGGGCGCCCGGGAGGGGCGGCGGCAGGGGGCCCACCCGGGGGGAGGAGGGAGTGCCTAGCCCCCCGCGGGGCGGGGAGCGGGGGCGCCGGGCGGGCGTCTGGGGTGGCCGGGAGAGCGGGGAATGGGGGGGTGGTGCCGATCCCGGAGAGGGCGGGCGTGGGGAGCCGGTCGGCGACGTGCGCGGGCGGCCCCCCGCGCTCCCTCCCTGCGACCGCAGCGGACTCGGAGTGGCTGCGGCGCGGCCTGCGGCGAACCGGGCCACACCACCGATCCCTGCCTGCCCCCCAACCGCCGGGCGCGCCGCACGCCGCCCCTTCCCCACCTGCGCGGTGCGGGGTGGGGAACCCGGCGCCTGCGGCGGTGGGAGGGGGACACCGACCTCCTGGCCCACCGAATGGCCCCCAGCCACCTGTCAAGGGAGGAGGGTTGCGGTCACCAGACAGGAACCCAGGGCGGGAAGATGTCGAGGGACTCCCCCAAGGTCACGCAGTCCGTTCCGATGGAGTCTAGACTGGAGCTGGGGGCCTGCTCTGAGTAAACTGGAAACAGGAGAACCCCCAGATTCAAGCGTTACGTTTCAGGTCTGGTACACCTCCATGCCACACTCTCAGCCCAGCCTCTTCCAGAAGGATCACCGGGATCACCCTGGGGTGGGATCGGCAGACCACAAGTCCAGCTGCCAGGCGGGGACAAGGTCCTAAGGATTTGTAAACGATTACTGAAGGCTTCCTTCCCTGAGGAGCACTTCTCACTGGGAGGGGCAGCATTCACACACAATACAAACCGAGGTAGTGAAGACTGGTGGTTAGAGGCCTAGGTTCCCAAAGGGGCACCGTTTATGTTCAAATCCCAGTGACTGGCTGTGTGACCAGCGCCCCCCCCAACCCGCAGGTGTTAGGGACTGAAAGTTTGTGTGCTCTCCCACCCCCTATGTTGGCCCTAAGCCCTAATGTGACTGTATTTGGAGACAGGACCTGTGAGGAGGTGGTAAAGATTAAATGAGTTCATAAAAGTGGAGCCCTAATCCAAAAGGAAGAGACACCAGAGCTGGCTTTCTCTATGCCCCAGGTGAGGACGAGAAGGCATCAGTGTGCAAACCAGGAAGAGAACTCTCCCCAGGAACCAAATTGGCTTGCACCTTGATCTTGGACTTCCCAACCTCCGAAACTGTGAGAAATAAATCTTGTTTAGGCCACCCCATCTGTGGCCTTTGTTCAGCTGCAAAACGTGGCTAGCGTTAGAGTCTATCACAGACATTACCGTATGGAAATGGACGAAGATGAATTTGGAGGGGGTTAGGCACAGTCTCTGTATACCTGCCCAGGAAGAAAGCTGATCAGGAAGGTGGGTATGAGTGACCTCATTAAGGGGTGGCTTTGAATTCTCTCCATTGGATTGGATTTGTTTTTTTTAAGTCAATCATTTGCAGACTCTGGCAATTTATTAGAAACAGACTGCTTGGGACCATTTTGCATTTCTCCTGCTCTGGCCCCTCCATCGTTCACCAGCACACGCCTCCTCCTCCCCGGGCCCTGCCCCCATGCCACCTCCACCCTGCTGTGGTGCCTGTGAACTTGCTGTGTCCTCTCCTCGGAGCACACCTGAAAAACGCCTACGGATCCTTCAGCTCTCACTGTTGTTCCCCACCCCCCTCCACCCCCGCTGCCATAACACCTCCAGCCCCATGTCCATTTCTGCATGGCACTTGTCACCCTTAGAACAGTCTTTTGTTCGTGTGACTATTTGATTAATACCTGTTTCCCATAATACATGGTAAGTTCCATGAGGGCAGGCACTGACTACTGAAGAGCCAGCACTTGTAACCGTGCCCGGTACCAGGGCAGAACTAGTGAAAGGCAAGCAACGTGCCAGGGCAGAAACTTTAAGGAGACACCGCCTCTCCGGGTTCTGCACTTGTAGGAACGGCACCTGAAAGTGAATGCGTCCTTGAATTTGGCACCTAAGGTACCTTATTGCCGCACCCTAGTCTCAGCCTTGCCTAGCACATAGCTCATTCTCAATATTTACTAAATGATTGACCAGATGGCCCATGTCGCAATTCACTGGCCCCCTCCATAGGTCCTGCTGGCCCCACTGAGAATCTCAGCTCTTAAAGAGATCTCAAAAGGATGGGGAGGTTATTGTTTTGAATCCTCTTCTCTCTGGGGTACTCTCAGGGATCTTGGCCAGGCAACGTGGGTGGCCTGGTGGGTGAGGCTGGCCTTGAGAGGCAGTGAGGTTCAGCGGAGAGTGTGATGGAATTAGACTCATGAGTCCTGGATCTGAACCTGATAGGAAGAGTGTATGCTGTGAGCATGCGCACATCACTTAAACTCACCAGGCCTTAGTGTCTTCCTGGTAAAATAGAAATCATCATAATTGCCAGGCAATCCCCATGAGGAATAAATGAGGTAAAGGCTGGGGCGAGGCCTTGGGAAGAGCCAAGTGCTACGGATCTGTAAAGGATGTTAGTATTAAACTCGCCACCCAGAGGCAGAGGCAAGGGGTGAGCAGGAAGAAGATGTGTGTTGGGTGGGGGGACCCAAAAAGGGGAAGGGAAGGAGGGAAAAGCAGGAGTAAGAGAATAAAGGATGGAGGGTGAGAGAGAGAAGGGAGGGAGAGAGAGGAAAAGAGACGTACACCCACTTTTCTGAGTCTTAAGCAGAAAACCATCTCTTCTGAGAAAAGCATTTCTATCTCAAAGTAGAGATGTCTACTGGCCGTTTTCTTTCATGTTTAATTTTTTACTAACATCCCACCTTCATCACGTAAAAAGCATTGTGATGATTTGTAACACAAACAGAATAGTTAACGGGACAGAGATTTCATGGAGAAAGGTTGATGCCAATCATACCAAGCATCTGTTATAAGATGGCTAGTCATCTAGCCGCCCATTCACTTCTGAGCCTCCCAGCAGCTAGAGCAAAAAGGGAACTACGATGGATTACAGAGTACACAGTATTTGATATTTATTTATTGACCACACAATTAAGTTCTCTCCATTCTTGGAAGAGTCCGGCTGCCTGGGGGAAACAGAACCGAGTCTCACTTGCATGACTGATGTGCACTACAGCTGCTTTCTGTGTCTGTAATAAAGGCTGTGGGGGTGGGGTGGGATGTGGCAGGACTTCCATCTGGGAAGAGAGAGAGAGAGAGAACGCCACGGGCTAGTGTCCTTCGCTGGGTCCATCTCAGCGGGCACCATAAAGCCTGAGCCCACTGAAGCTCCAGGAGCCATGTCTGCGGGCCACTCTGGACCTGTTCATCCAGCGAGGGACGTGGGGGAGGGGTGGTCAGCAGGCCTCGTGGAGGACTCCGAGCTGCTGGCAATGCTTCCTCTCAGCTGGCTCCTCTGAGTCTGCACACGCAGAGATTAGGCATGTTGCAAACCTAGCAATGAGATGCAAACCCAAGAGGAGGGGGCAGAAGGCAACTTGGGAAGCAGCAGCTCTGTTTTCACCCTCAGCGGGGTGCCAGGGTCCTGGAATGCCCGGCAGCCGATGTAGCCCGAGGACTGGGAATCCATGCCCACTCGGTTTCCCTAGCAGCTGGCACCCTGAGAATGTGACGGGTCCACGCCGGGACCAGCACAGCATCCTTGTACTTCCCTCTGATACCCAAGGGACTGGAGATTAGAAGGCAGGGCCAAGCCACACAGGGACCTGGGCTGGGTATCCCGAGCTCTGGGTTTCAGTCGTGGCTGTGCC